CACAAGTGCTTCATCTCATCGAAGACATGCATGCCGATGTCCTCGACCTAAAAGAATGCCTCACACAACTCCGTGTAGGCATCACACCTCGTCTAAAGAAAAGAAAACGGAACAGGAGCCCCTCAAGAAAACACGCTTCAAAGCGCCGACGACACCTTCAGTCCGAGGATGAGATGGAAGTAGAGGATGAAGAAGAGAGATCATCTGAACAAAGTGACTAACGCATGGGCCATGCTGTCCCACTGTTTTTACCAGTTTCCCATCGTTTGCAGTTTTCCAGTGTTCCAGTGTTCCAGTGTTCCTGCCGTTTCCTGTTTCCAGTTTGTTTTCCAACGGCCCTTTTCAGGGCCACCCATCTCTCCCGAAATACAACTTTCCTCCTTTGCTTTGACGACCCTCCCACCCCCCACACACCGTGAACCCACCCCCACCTCCTCCCTCCCTCCCTCCCTTCACCACCACCACCACCACCACCACCACCACGTCTATGTATAGAACAACAACAACCACAACAACAACAACCACAAAAGATGTTTGACGCGCTTCTTTCAATGTCGATCCTGTTCCCCCTTTTACAGGCGCTTCTCCGGGTTTTCCCCTCCTCCCCGGAAACGGAGGTGCCGCCCTCTTGAATGCGTACGCCACCGGACACAGATGCGACGCCATCTTGAATGCGCACGCCACCGGAAACGGATGCGACGCCCTCTTGGAGGCGCGCGCAGGTACCCATCATGCACTGCGCAGGTCACGTGGCCGGAAATGGATGTGCCGCCATCTTCGTACCATAATCCTGAGGCGGTACCATAATCCTGAGGTGGTACTCCACCGATGTAGACAACTACTGACATTCACTAAAGTCAACATATATGCTAATGGCTAAAATGTGGGTAACTGGCCTATTATCTATGTACAAATGCCCAATGTGACTCGTGTCCTTTGAATTTATGTTTCTATTGTAAGCTGCGGTACATAAGGGTCATGAATACTGAATTTTTTGCCAGCTTAAAGACATGTATAAGTGTTATCATCGTTTAATAATATGCCATGTTAACATTTTTTTTAAACGCCGGAAAACGCAAAACTTTGGATGTTATAACCATGTGGTAACCATATACCGAAGTGTTGAAGTATTACTTCACTATCATAACTTCCAAAATAAAATGATATTCAAACTTTTACATCAGTATAAAAATATACATTATATAAGATATAAACGACTCTTGGTCGTTGTTTATCGTACAATACCTGGGGGTAGTGCAAAGGTTTTTACTTTTCTAAGATGCCGAATATAAGAATAACCTTGTGTTTTATTAAAGGTGGGTTTAAAAGGAAAACTGTAACGAGCGGTGCCTTAAATTTAAAATCCACAAACAGGGCTAACTGACGGGCTGTTCCACCAAATTGTCGGTTGCACTACGTTAAAGAGACATATTTACGTTTTAAAGATAACACAAAGTACGCAACTAAAATGGATAGTTTGTTATTCAAATAGGTCATACTTCATTATCCGTTCAGTTTGTGGTTATCAATCAACCCATGCAGCTATAAGTAGGATTTTTAAAAGTAAGTGTTTATTAATTTGCTTCAAATTAATCACGTATAACTCGAAAATTATGTAAACATAGCCGAAATTCGATGTAGCTTCTGTTGCAAGTTCAAGTTGCAGCTCTGTTTCCAACACTAATGTTAGCAGATTGCAGCAACTGGTCGGTTGCACTACATGATCCCATCCCCGACGTTAATCGACGGCACATGGCATGGTGTGGCGTCGTCGTGGGACGAACATCGCGGAGGAAGAGCAGCAGCGGCCATTTTGTTTGATTGCTGTATATTGTTAAATGCCGTACGCTGAGCAACAGGTGTACATGTGGTTCTGGAATTTTTGAAGGATGGCTCATTACTTTGTCAAGAGAGACATACATCATTCCTCGGACACAAACGTCCGCCTCGGACATTGCCGTTGCCCGGACACAGTAGCATATGTTTGGGGAAACCCCGCGGCATGAGGTAATAATTTTCAAATTTTCGACAACTTATTAAGAAACTGTTTCACCGATAAATGATGTGGATGCGCCATCTTGTTTGACAATAATGAAAGAACGATGTACCCCACATGGTTTATTCTCCCTGCAGTGTTTTATTGTACGATAAACACGACCACGAGTCGTTTATTTCTTAAATATAAGATAGCTATGAATAAATCCCAAGAACAATGAAGAAATTGTTTATCGTACATTCTACCATGGCATTGAAGGATGCTTGATTCTGATTGGTTAAAAAAAGGTTTCCTCTTTGCTATGAAAACCCCTTTTATATATTTTACACCTTTTCACACAAAAAACGTGCGCATGAATACATCGATAGCCTACACATCGATTCATAAAAATACTAAAGTTTGAAAGATGAATTGTCAAGTGTTACCCGGACCGGGTAAGGTTGGAAATTTCAAATTCGTTCCCACTCCTCTTGCAGCCCTGGCCAAGTTCAACCAACATGTCGGCGGCCTAGGGCGTGAGCACTAATGATTTGTGCATGGTGAGCACGGGCGTTGTATAAATACATACAAAACGTCGACCAACACATTTCGCAAACGGGACAACAAAGGATGTCAGTATGTTGTCCCGATAGTACCGTCCAGTGACCCTTGCTTGTACAATACTAGTATAGAGTGGGGTTCGCGCTGTCATTATTAGTGATACGTGAGCAGCGACGATTACCTCAGTTTCAACGTTGTGTATATACACCACTGATGTCTTTTGGTAATAAGACGATTTGTATATATAAAGGGGCGGCACAATGCGTGGCCGTTGAGATGGAGATGAGTTGCATGAAGACGATTTCTAAACGTCTGACCAGCATGTCGTACTCCAGTGTAGCCTGATGAAAGTTTGCAGCAATTTGATTCGCCGTTTGAGCTTGATTTCATATAGAGTCTGGTTTCGGATCAATCGATCCTGTCTGTACTCCTTTAGCTCGGACGCCCTGAACGGGGTCAATCGTCAACATTTTGGGTTTGTTGGTTCCTATAGTCTGCTAAAATGGAAAGACTGTGAAACTCTGAACGTATTGGCCACTGCACGCTGACCTCTGTCAGTTTCCAGCATACCAATAGCCCGTAGACGTTCTGCACGATGCAGACGCCGCATCTACCCCTGAAGATTCGGGTAGGACTAGGTCTTCAGCAACCCATATGCTTGCCGTGAAAGGCGACTATGCTTGTCGTAAGAAGCAACTAATGGGATCGTGTGGTCAGGCTCGTTGACTTGGTTGATGCATGTTATCGTATCCCAAATGCGTTGATCGATGCTCATGATTCCAATCACTGAAGTGTTTGGTTCAGACTCGATTATTTACAGACTACAGAGTGCGGCGTTAAACAACAAACAAACAAACAGACGTCGAATTGCTAGTTCATACACAAACAATATATGAATCAAGTAAATCACAACTGTATGATAAGGAGAATGAATATTATTGACACAAAAAATGGTCCAGAGAGATATATCGACCTTCCTTGAAAGTGTCAAAATCAGGAAAGACAACCCGCGCACTTTTGTGGCGCTACTGTGTGCGGCACGTGCAAAATATAGGACGTGTTTACAGACACACATTTAAACTCCCATGCATACTGAAAAAGGCGATTATTCTTGTCATAAGAGGCGACTAACGGGATCTGGTGGTCAGGCTTGCTGACTTGGTTGATGCATGTCATCGTATCGGTTGTGTGCAAGGCATTAGCCCTCCGGAAACGAGCACTACTGCCATTTTTCAGTCGATGTCAAAGTCGTTTCTATGGAAACTCAAAAACATTTTTTTTTAAATCCAAACTTTCAAAAAACACCAGTTTACCTCTACATCTATCTATGTGCCGAGTTTGACGAAATCTGCTCCGGAAAGCAGGACGGACAGCACCCATTCCTATATCCTCCTTCCACTTCGTGGCGGGAGATAATAATTTCCTCACCACTGCTTACATTAAATAGTTCTACATTCGTTACAACTAGATCTAATCATTGTCCAAACACAATACAATGAGTTTCTACTGAAGCAACAGAAACAATGTAACACATTAACACACAATGCCATTTAGAAAGTGGTAAAATGCAAAAAATGTTATATTTGGGATAACACTTTCTTGTTAAAGTACAGATTCTCGTACCTTTTTGGGTCGAGTCCCGTCCGGGGTTCGAAACCACACCGCCAGAGATCGTGGCACCTGTTATATAATCGCCAGCACATAAGTCAGCGATCTAACCCACTCATCCACCGTTTATAGAAAACAGTTTTATTTGAATCATGAAAATACAAGTTGGGGACAAGTGATACTTGTACAAATATTTGCCCCCCTCCCCGTCCAAAAATGTTACAATACTCAGTTGTAAGTAGATGGCTAGATGGCTCCGTTCAGATTACGTTTACGAATTTTTGCTCAGTTAATTTAATATACATGCATCATTCTCTGTTTATTTCCAGTCAGAATGATTTTCATATAGGTCGTTTGAAGTTTTCTGGAAATCCGCCACATCACCTCGCCGATTTCCATTTTTCCATTTTGAGATATCTGCATGGAGGCTATCTTTTCGTTATATAAATATTCCTGCTTTGCCCAAAGTGTACACTAAAATCGGTGTATTCAATGCGCGAGTACCTGTCAAATAAATGTACTGCTTTAAGCTTGGCCCTTTTTCATATCGCGAGTAGACGCAAGCTCCTTCCCAGCGCTCGACACATTCGTTACTCTCATTATAGATGTGTAGAGAGCTCCGCTAACGGGATATCGCTGTGAGAAGCTTGACGATGCGCCCAGACAACCGGGAACCCAATCCGATAGTCGCTACCGTAAACTGGCATGTCGTATGTCAATGCTGTCGTAAACTACACGTCTTTGTATCCCATCATATAACAAAACGATATCGACAAAAGTGGAATCCCAAGGCTATAATTAAAATATAAACAGTGCGATTCTTAAAAAGAACAACTTCATTGATCGACAGTGGAAATTGGAATCGACCTTGACCTTGACATTCGTAGGCGACATTCATCATAGTTCAAGTGTTCACCCTTCATGCTCTCGTTCGGTTCAGTTTCAGCTTCCGATGCAAGTTGACTCTACAATTGAATCAGTCATACACTGTTTTCTGCGTGGCAGTCGGTAGAATCAGCTCGAAATGGAGGATATGAAAACTGGAAACGCTGACATTGACGCAAAAGTTGAGGAATGGATGCGTTGGGATCAGGTAAGTCTCATAACGACTACTATACCTAGTGAGTATATGGTTCGTGTGCTAGAATCGCCTCGGTTGTGATCATTGTGCCCATGCTTGTGGTTTACTCGGACCCCGTGGTACCGCGGCATTCATCGTATCGCGGCATTTGTGATTTCCGATAGTTCACGCGGGACACGCCTCATAGCGGCTGTCTATTAATGCAAATCAGTAACCAGGAAGTGCTCACTTCGTGAACAATTTCAATTTTCTCGGAATGTTCCGTCTGCTGTAAGTAAAGAGTTATTAATGCGTTGATACATACTTCTGGCATCTGTTGTAATATTGCCTTACCCCCATCTATCAATGGCCAACGATATAACCCGCAGTTCCCCAAGTAAACTTTCTCTATATCGACCTGAACTAGGCCTAGATCATCTGCATATTCATGGCGACTAATGAGGTAACGGAAGTAACGTAGTCCGCACTTTGTTTCCCGCTCTGTGCCCAGAATCTATTTGGAGATCATAAGGGCCATAATGCCAAACTTAGAAATACGTTCTTCACTAGTAGCCAAAAGATAAATATATACTTTGGGCATACTAGGAGTGCTTTTTATATATTTATTGTTGACTTTTAACATTTTTCCATTTTGTGACAAATTATTGTCATCCAATTTTTTTTTTACAATCTTAAAATATAATTTCTGATATTTTGATGTTGACTTATAAAAATATTTTTCTCTTACTTTTCGGTAAATATGCATTGAATACCTATTGCTGATAACACATTTAGAATTTTACTTGTGCTGTCTTTGCACTTGTCTGGACAAATCACTGATGTCTGGCATGATCATACCAAGTGGTTGGTAGAATTTTGTCCTCTTTTTGTACAATTCTGACCTCCATACACAACTTTTCTCACTACCGCGATACGATGGAGTTCTCTCCCTTGTCAAACAGAGCGCGAGGCCCGGCTTTTACTCGGAGCTACTAATGTAAATAATGAACTTTTATCAGTAAAATATGCATTGTTTGATAACATGAAGGATATCTGATACAGAGAACACGAATAAACATAAAGGTTAGTGAGTGCATTTTGTTCCGTTTAGCGTACATGACAAGTACCGCGATACCCCGAGGTTGCAGGCTATAGTGTGATATATTATTGAATATGCCTTACGTTTTGAGACAGTCCAGAATGAATTTGTCGCTTAGTTTGTTTGCGGAAATATGTGCATTCAACAGACCATGCACGTTATTTCGGTCGTGCAATCCATGCAATTCCGCCTTTCGCATAATATATCCAGATTTGACCTTTGGTGTCCTGGAAAGAGTTGGAATTGGCACTGCCGGAAGTAGACGAAACAACGGAAACGGACATTTTCAGCAGAAAACACAGATTTCTGTAGCTTCAGGTATTCTACCAGGATCCGTTGTTATATTTCCAGTGCATGTTTTTTTACTTGCTGACACAAAATTTATAAGTTCAAACTGTATCATAGATGTAAATTATACTAACTATAAATTTTAATAATAAAATACTGAAAATTGGTTGTGTTTCCTCTGTAGCCTGCATGGTATAATTGCCAAGAAACACATGGAACTATTCTAAGATCACTGTGCTATAAATATTATGATGCTTGTATAGTAGTTGTCAGAGATTGAAAGTCTTCACTGACATAATCGGAAATCAGTTAAGGAAAGGCTTTGAAATATAGAAGAAAAAAACAGACAATGGAAATTTCCCTTGGAAGTAATGAGAGCATTGCAGAGAGGAGAACTGTTATCTACAGCTTCAAAGATCAACCGTTCAAGTCACCGGAAGATCTACTGGAAATAGTTGGTATGTATATTTACATCCTTAAGGTTATTAAATATTCTAGTTGTATGGTCAACGTTTTTAACATTCTGTGATTCTCTTGCTTAACATGCTTAAAGGGAAAGGAGGCCAACCGTTCTGAAGCTTTGTTTGTAAACAACAAAGGCCCTGCTCGCCTTTTTCTGCAAGAGAATTTTTTCTGCTCCATTAACTACACCGCGGATGTTGGCTTATCACATGACCCGACTTTTATCTTGTTTGTAAAAAAGCACACTTATTCTGAAATAAGAACAGATGGGCCTAATGCAAACCTTTCGGTGTGCTTTACATTTGTTTTGCATAATTATTTTGACATACTACTATAACTGCGACAGTGAGGTGCATGACAATATAGGTTTACACATCAAAGCGACGATATCACTAGCTGTACATAGGGCTTCGAAGGCAGCAGATGTGGTTTTAAAATACCCAAATGGAAATAGTTTTTCACATTTCAGGATCTTTACTCAATGATAGCTATGTTTATATAAATGTGTATGACTTGTTCAAAATCAAACAGATGTAAAAGACATGAATGGACTGCCTAAGATGTGATGATGTGACAGAGGTACAAGGCTGGGTAGGACTGTAATTGGCTTCCTCCGACTGAGGCATATTTATGTTGTCATCTTGGCTTTGATGAACACTAGGGCTGCTATGAGGCGAATACGATTTGTTTCATGACTATAGTGTAATGAATACGAATATTTATTCCTAAATACAATAACAAGTCAGCAGTTGATGGATTATTTGTTCTATTCCATGAAACAAAAGCAACACAAACTATTTGACATGGTTTGTTAATTATAAACATATTATACATTTATATACTTCACTTATCCAGGTACTAGTATCTGCTAGAATGCGACAATGACCAGTGACCACACTATTGTCAAATTAAATATTATAAGAGTGTTGTCTTTGAAGAAATCTATGCATATAGTATGTTCTTATGGATATTTTTAGATACAGGGTATGTAACTGAACATGACTGCATATTCATAAATATTCGATTCTATTGGTCACGAATAACGAATACAATTCATGAATGGATACGGTTTGATTCACCGAATACGCGAGTGAATTGTAACAGCCCTAATGAACACTGCATGGCTTCTAATCCAATCAAGATGGAAATTAGTATTTTGTACCATATGAAAAACACACAAGCTTTTTTTCGATTTGCCTCTAATAAAAAGCATGACTGAAGCCAATTTTATCTGCACATCGCTTACGTTGTCGACTTTGCTGTCCGGAACGCTATTGTTTTGGTTTGAGAATTGAATTGGGTATGTGACGTCACACTTTGAAAGTAGTTCATGCATGATTTATTAACACAAACAGAACCGTCAACATACTGTCCCTTTAATCAGTATTATATAAACAATAATGAAGGATGGTCCTGGGATCCTTGAACATGTTGAATTTTTTCTGCTACTGTGTTGTGATCTGAAGACCCCATAAAATATGTAATTGTTAATGCTACAGTTATGACAAGGACCTCTTGACTTTCATGCTCACTTAATTTTGAACACTGATGTTTCAAAAGATCTTGAAATGTGAATTTTGTTAAAATTCTGTCTTGCAACATTATTCATGTGCATGACAGAATTTTAACAAAATTCATGATGAGATATATGAGCTATATTGTATATTTGGTACTGATGATGCTGGTATATTAGATAAGCACTAAATCTGAAATATGATACAATTAGCCATTAACTTGATACCAGATATTCATGATATTAATCATGTTCATACTGAAACATTTTGACTAATTTACAAAGATTACAAAGAAATGTATATTTCAGCAAATCCTGATCTTCAGAGAGTGAGCACAAAGCCACCTTACCGACCTAAAGCAGGAGAGGTATATGTCTACCACCATGAACAGACTTACATGGATAAAAGTAAGCCATCACTGTTGATACAAAGTTTTGTGTGATTGTCTAATGCCACACTCAGCAATATTCCAACAATATGACGGCTGCCTGGAAATAATTGGGTCTGGACCAAACAATCCAGTGATTGACATCATGAACGTCAAATTCAGTCCACACAATTGGGATTCAATGATATGCAACTAATCAATTCCATTTAGTGGCCTCTTACAACATAGGTTGCTGGGGACCTATATTCTTATCCAGAATCCCCACAATTGGTTAATACAAAGCCTGTTTATTAATGCTCCAAAGCATTGCAATTGTCCCTTGAGCAATCACAGCTTGGGATGACAAATTAAAATGATAATATTTGACATTGATACCATGCCACACTAATGACAGTTTCAATGGATTAGACATAATAATTTGTTTCCCAACAAATTCATTGTTTGATGAGACCACTGGGTATCCATTTACAGGTTAATGGATATTATGCTACATGTACATGACTGTAAGCCAAGCTGCCTCATTTGACAATGTAACAAGTTCTATTACTGTCTAAAATAATTATTGCGATTGTGATTATGTTGAATATAACAGCAGTCTTTGCAAAATGTTTGAGTCTACTATTTCGAACCTGTCAACTGACATCGTTTTCAGTAGATCTTGGTATTAATGTATGGACTTTTATTAGTAAAGCTTTATCACTGTTTATACTAGACACAACTACATTTTAATAGACTTGGGCTACGGATTAATGGTTTAAGTCAAAGCCTGTATCAATGAATATTCATAGTATCATCAGAACCACTACCTTTCTCTTAACTTCGACAAATGTCACTGTTGTGAGCTGGGAGTGATGGTTCGGGGTGGGATAACCTTGTGGTTAAAGTTGCCATGTTTTCCATATATTTATGATATGAGCGACATGTAGTTCGTAATTATTACTACAAAATAAAAACATATTTTATCTTCAAAATTATCCTGCATATTTTATTGAAACGATTTGAGATGAACTAATACAATTGGAATTTCTTGCCCTGCACTTGCCGCCAACCGTCAATATGAGCAGACGACTTGATTTTTCAAGCCCAGGTCATGAATCTGTTGTTAGTGATTGCAATACAATATTTAGAGATATTACTCTGTATCCATGATGGTATCTGGAAAAGTGTTTGTTACAACAATTTGACTGGGAATGGTACTGATCCAATAAGCTTCTTAGTAATTGATAATGCTGTACAGAAACGAAGTGCAAAACAAAGGTCACACATTCATCAAAATAGTAATAAGCATTGTCTTTCATTTACAGAAACTTGGGTCTATGATGGCTATCGGTGGAGAAACAATGGCAAGAAAAAGTACCCAAAGCCTTCACCCTTGTTCGAGAAAGTGTATTTCACTATTGACTGTGCAGATGCAGATAGTGTTGACTTCCGTCGCTGTGTCTATATCCCGATCAACAAAGAACTGAAGTACATGGTTGTGCAGTACTTTGGCGCTGCATCTACTCCTGGCCTGTTTTCTTCTGTTGAAAGAAATAAACTGTCAACTCGACCCAACACATCTAGGTTCGAGTATTTAGAATCTGCGGACAGTGATAACTCTTTAATTAGTGACCAGATGAACATTTCTGCTTTCACAGCTAGAGATGAGGGAAATTTGATGTCTCAGATAGGAGACATGTCTCTCCCATCCACATCAGGAATGGTTAAGAAATCAACAGTATCGGTAAGCCTCATTCCAAATAACAACCGTTCTATTGTTGACGACTCAAATGGTGCTGAAGTGGACACATGGGTAGAGAAAGAGGGTGAAAACAATTTCAAATTTAGCCAGAAAACATTTACAGATCTAATGAAAATATGTTTTGAAATGAGGAATAATGATTATTTTTGGTCCTTCAGCTCAGCTCCGGAAGTTATTCTTCTATTTGGGAGCTGTGACCTGTGTTCCGACCTCAATGACTTCCTGTCAACACGGAATGACACCATACAGTGTCTGTCTTATAGCACATCACCGTGCCTTGATGGATTCTTCATATCAGTCTTGTCGCTTCATCATCCAAAGTTTATTCTCGTGGAGTCAAGCAGGAGTCCACCTGTTATTCCTCTAGTGTTCATGATCCACCAGGATAAGACCCCTCTTAGTCATACAAGTCTCTTCAATCTGATTGTGGAACATCTTCCAGCTTTGAGGGTTGAAGCCAATGAGCCATCCCTTGCAATAATTCTTGACAAAGATCCAAATGTTATGACTGTAGTTAAAAAGTGCCTTCCAAGCTGCATCACCCTTCTTTCTCCTTCTTTCATCAGACGAGAAGCTCAGTGCTGGCTGACTAAGAACATGCACTCTAAGCGAACTGACCGCTACCTGACCGATTTAGAGGATCTGATGAGGGTAAGCTCCAAGTCAGAATTTGAATCACTCCTTAACAGTCATAAACACAACTGCAGTAGGTCTTGGCTGAATTTCTTTGATAGTCAGCTAAAGGATGACATGATCAGCCACTGCAACAACTGGATGAGGATAAGAGAAGGTCATTCACAAGGAGGTCCTTGAGGAAAACCAGTGCCCTCCCTTGGAACAGGTGTTATATGACCTTGAACTTTGCCATGAGGCAACCATGGATGTCCTGATCCAGGCCTTGTATTTCCTTCACCAGTTTCTCATGACAGAGCTGCAGAGAGGGAAAAGTGGATTTGGCTTGTACAGGCTTCATGAAAATTATATTTCAGAGTTTGGACATCCAGTTATGGTGAATTGTCAGTTTGTGGGGCAACCTTCTGAAATAGTTCAGTTGGTAATGAGTAGGAGGAAGAGTGCTTGTAGTAAGACCAAGGAAAGTGGCGCCACCTGTGAGGGTGATCAAGGGGAGATAATGCCAATCAAGCAAGAGCCAGCAGGGGAAGAGGATACAAGTTATCTTGTTTTCCGTGAAGGAAATATGGTCATTGGAAATGAAAATGAAGAAGACAATGGAGACAGTTGTCTGTGGGAAACAGTTGGTGCTCAACGTAAGAGGAAGTTCTCATCTGACGATGTTGGAGACTCATGTACTGACATCAAGAAACAGTCTATTTCACAATAGTGGATGTTATGTTAAGACTGTGTTCTAAATAATACCTAACCTTGTATATATATATACAAGGACAGGGGTATACAAGATAATAGATGTTCACTGTGAGTTGCATTCCTTAGCCATGCCAGGATCCAAGGATCTCTGCTTCAGATACAAGATTGTCCCTGATTTAGAGACTTAGTTTGTCAGCATCACATCTGTTGTTTGAGGAATTAATCTATGACCTGCATTACTTTTGCCTTTCATCTCACAACACACAGTGATGTGACTGTACGATGCTGAAACAGTGTTAATTGTGGTACATTTCAGACTGTATTATATTCAGTAGATTTAGGTGTAAATATGTGGGCTTTCATGTGCTTGCTAAGTTAACAAACTGAAAGGATATTTTACTGGACTTGGGTTTTGGACTAAACATGCTGAGGTGCAGACTGCAACTCACAATCTCATGAATGTTTAAATATTGCTGTAATTGTTTGTAACTTAGAAGGGTTTCACGAACTAGGGATGTAGTGTTACCAGTTTCTTAATGTACTTATCAAGTCATATGCCTGGTTCCATTTCTCTCATGAATAAGATGTGTGTATCCTTTCTTGATAGTTATCGTTAATAAAATTTATACATTGACTAACAAGGCAAAATGGGTCACTCATATCTAGTGAGGCTCTGTCATATTGGTTTTGTGCAAAATGTGTGATGATGATACAAGACACAGCATACATGATGACAACCTCGATTATCAAGGGTAGTATATCCCCATTCGCTACCATAGCTTTTTTTGAGTGATTATGGTTTTAAAACGCTTTCAGCAATATTCAAGCTATATCACAGCAGGGGTCACTAGAAATGGGCTTCACATATTGTGCCCGTGTGGGGAGTCGAACCCAGGGTCTCTGGCATGACAAGTGAAAGCTTTAACCACTAGGCTACCCCACCGCTCATGGACTGTTACCGCCTCCGTGGTCTAGTGGTAGAGCGTCCACCCGGAGGGCGGAAGGTCTGGGGTTCGATCCCTGGCCTCATCATACCAAAAGACGTTAAAAGATGGTACTTGTTGTTACCCTGTCTGGCGCTCGGCATTAAGGGGCTAAAGCAAGGACTGGTCGGCTCAGAGTCAGTATACTCTGTCTGAGTGGGGTATTCATGATAAACTGCGGCATGGTATCTCAGTGAGCTAGCACTATAAATCGGCATCAGTCCGGACTAGTACAAGCAGCCACACACACACACACGTGCATGCACATCGCTATATAAGTGCAATAATCTTGGACGCGACGTTAAACCCAATTTCACCTTACCTCACCTCATGGACTGTTCTAAGAGAAATGGAGATGATGACGAATGGGTCCAGGGTATTTATCATAATAGAATGGACATATGATACACTGGATAATTGAGGATGTCATAATAGAACATATGCTATTTGTGTCACCAAAGTCTGTACAGTTAATCAAGATTTATGTGTCACACTATGTAATATTCCCTATCATTCCTTTCAACTTACTTTGAAGTTTCTGTATTGCATTCCTTTGACAGAATAGAAAAGTACTTGGAATTGTTTGTGAATAAATAATGTCTTAATCTTGGTGAGTGTTCTTTCTTCCATCTGATTTGTGTTGATGGCATTATGTGAGTCAAGATGGCCATTACTACTAATGTTTTTGTTTTTTAAAGCCTAACTCTTCGATGTTCCAGCTATATGATGCGGGCCAGTAAATAATTGAGTCATGACTAGACACCAAGTCTGACCACCCATTCCATTAAGTCGCCTGTTTACAAAATAAATTAATAATTTTGGAAGAGTAATATTTTCAGTACACAGGAAATATGCTGAAGGAACCAGCAATCTCACAACACATATGTCTCAGCACCCCCGAGAGTACTTAGTTATTGTCTCTAGTATTCAAATGTTGTTACTGTCTGCACATCAACACAGCCAACAAGAAGTCATTTGTTTACATCACTGTACATCTTCCAGCTACATAACTCATAAACATGTCAATGGCAATATATCACAATACAGACCTTAATAAATTATGAGGCCGACCCATAAGAACCAAGGCTGAGAACTCAAGGAGCTCTTTTTGTAGGCCAGTGACATTTGTTCCAAGTATTGTATATACCCTTATGGTGAAATGGGGTTTAACGTCGCACTAAAGATTATTGCACTTATATCGACCTCTTGTCGTTTTAGATGCTGTTATGTTTTTCATGTTAATTATACCTTTGCCAATTATATATAATGATTGCGAAAAATGTTAACAAGTTTTACAGGTTGTACAATGTTGTACTTCGTTATCCTGTGATGATTGTGTGTCTTCTGTCTAGGGGCTAAGATGGGAGCTGGGTAGCTCTGGGGCTCTGAAATAGCAAGTCCCTACACTGGAAGTTGTATACAGTATTGACGTTGAACCTCAATCATTGTGTCAAACTTAGATGTAACAAATTCCTGGTTGTTTCGAATTCAGCTTCTGTTCCCTGGGAATTCCTTCTATATGTTGATCTGTCAAATGGAACGGTTGTCTTGAACTCATTTGGGAGTCCCAAGTATCCAAATTAAGCATAAAATTCCCCTGATGTCTCGAACAGTTCAAAATCGAAAATAAAGTCCACACCCACCTAATTTTCAACTCACTTGAAACACAAATGACTGTTCTCACTGCAGGATGCTTTCTGATAACATGCCAATATCCAATCACATCAAAGGTGCAAGCTGACTGCTTTATACACACTGGCAGCAAATGACAAAAGTGTTCTCATGCCTTTGACAAATGAACATTGAGAAATGAGTAAAGCAGATTAAGATTATGTTAGTGAATCTTAATCAAGTTATGAGTGAGTGAGTGAGTCAGTTGAGTTGAGAGTTGAGAAAACTCCGCTTTGAACAATATTCCAGTTCTATCAAGGTGTTCAAGCTATGATGTATACTACGCTGATCCAGACGGCGATAGTGAGATCAATGATATGCCCGAGTAGCCCCTCCCTTAACTACCAGGAACCTCGGCACTGACATTTATGCATGCCTTGAAAACTAGTGTTGCATCAGGACCTGGTAATAATCTCTAATAACATGATATTTGCTTTTTGTAAATTCCTTTAGTTGGTTGTCTCAAACCAAGGATAATTCAAACTGCAGGTACAAACGAGGTTCAACTGAAACTTTTCTTTGGTATTTCAGAATCTAATCTGTTATTATATATAGTGTTAACATTTCATTAAAAAAATTGTCTTCTGTGTACATACACTCAAATTGAAGAGTTTATAAGTTTGACTGGCAAACATATTCGTTTTCTAACTGTTACAATTTTGAGAACATCCTTAACCATTGTCTGTATTTTGCTTGAATATCTCTACAGATATTTGGGTTAAAGTCGTGATAGTGGTACAGCAGTTTGAGTCACACACAGCAGAGTTGTGCTTTTTCTCATGCCAGGATCCACAAATTGTAGTTTGGATTTTTTCTTGATAATGATCTTTGGTCAATCAACACAGTACCTGTTTACCAAATTGCAAAAATCTATCACCTGTGTCATTTTTGGCTTTCCTCCTACATTAAGCTGACATGCTGAAATATTCAAAGCAGCATTAAAGTTTGATTCACTTACCCTCTCATTGTAAGACATATATGAAGAGGAACTAAACAGGTGGCACAAATAAGAAAAGATTGCTAAAAGTTGTGCAATACTACATCCAGAACTATTTTCTTTGCAACTATTTCTATTGTAGAATGATACGAATCGTGCTGAGATCCGACAACTGGCTTTGGAGAAGAATGTTGATGAGTTAAAGAAACGCCTGCTTCAGAGGATGGAGTTTGGCACAGCAGGTTGGTAAAATCGTCAGAGTGCAGATCTATGCGAGTAGTTACATCTGAAACCTTTACAGAGTAGATGTAGAAGTGGGTGAACACCATCCACTGAAGAAGAGCTGGAGTCATGGAAAAGGCAGAGCAGATATGAACATGGGCAGAGCAGATATGAACATGGGCAGAGAAGACATGAACATGGGGGGAGCAGACATGAATATGAGCTGACCAGACTTAAACATGGGCAGAGCAGACATGAACATGGGCGGAGCAGAAATGAATATGAGCTGACCAGACTTAAACATGGGCAGAGCAGACATGAATATGAGCTGACCAGACTTAAACATGGGCGGAGCAGACGTGAATATGAGCTGACCAGACTTAAACATGGGCAGAGCAGACATGAACATGGGCAGAGCAGAAATGAATATGAGCTGACCAGACTTAAACATGGGGAGAATAAACATTAACATGGGCAGAGCAGACGTGAATATGAGCTGACCAGACTTAAACATGGGCAGAATAAACATTAACATGGGCGGAGCAGACGTGAATATGAGCTGACCAGACTTAAACATGGGCAGAGCAGACATGAACATGGGCGGAGCAGACGTGAATATGAGCTGACCAGACTTAAACATGAGCAGAATAAACATTAACATGGGCGGAGCAGACGTGAATATGAGCTGACCAGACTTAAACATGGGCAGAGCAGACACAAACATGGGCGGAGCAGACGTGAATATGAGCTGACCAGACTTAAACATGGGCAGAGCAGACATGAACATGGGCGGAGCAGACGTGAATATGGGCAGAGCAGACACGAACATGGGTGGAGCAGACATGAATATGAGCGGAGCAGATGTGAATATGAGCTGACCAGACATAAACATGGGCAGAGCAGACATGAACATGGGCGGAGCAGACGTGCATATGAGCTGACCAGACTTAAACATGGGCAGAGCAGACATGAACATGGGTGGAGCAGATGTGAATATGAGCTGACCAGACTTAAACATGGGCAGAGCAGACATGAACATGGGCAGAGCAGACGTGAATATGAGCTGACCAGACTTAAACATGGGCAGAGCAGACATGAACATGGGTGGAGCAGATGTGAATATGAGCTGACCAGACTTAAACATAGGCAGAATAGACATTAACATTGGCAGAACAAACTCTGACGTCAAATGAAAAAGGTTGCTGTCATCAGTGCATGTCTGTGCTATCGGGACAGATGGAGCCTGGGTTTCACATCATGCTGATGCCTAGGGTTTGACTTCCCACCTTGGTACATGTGGAGCCTATTCTCCGTGGACCTGCTTTGATATTGTTGGAGTGTCGTACAAAGCAAAATTACTTAACCACTTTGTGTCTGACAAGAATAGTGTCTTGTTGATATTTAGTTTGTTAATCAGATTATCACTGCAGCCACAGATAAGCTTTTTTACTTCAAATGCAAACATTTTAGCACATACTTTGGAAAACAATTTATGTCAATTGATTGTTTATTTTGTTGAACAAATTGATTTAGTTATATATGTTTTTCAAGATGATTAGTATGCTCGAATGGGAGTGTAAAGACATTGGAAACATTGGGAAATTTGCAGAGATAAGTTTTAATCGTATAGGATGCACTTGTGGTGCTGTAATGACTGTGTGTCTTCTGTGGCTCAGGTCTTCGGGCGAGGATGGGAGCTGGCTACTCCATGATGAATGACCTCACGATCATCCAAGCAACACAGGTAAGTCTTGTCAAACAAATACTGCATCCAAGAAACAACTTGAATTATGTCTACCAGTAGTATTGCTCAAATGTCACTTTCTATTCAACTTGACGAGTTGTTGACATCAACAGGAGCTTATGTCATATGGGTTACCAGGTTTTCACTTTGTCTGCTTTCACTGCACTAGTATCATGTTTTTCTACAAACACCCTTGGCTTATACATAGGTAAGTTTTTACACTATGTTGAGATTTCAAACATATGTCCCTAGCTATAGCAAAATTCGAGTTTGATTTTGAAAAATTCAAAATGGCCACTACACCAGCAAAAATTATTTTAAATACAGCCCTCAGGTAATTCACTGCTTGTCTTTAGCCAGTTGTTTTGCAATTATTAGAGGATGTTTATGTAATTGTTATCCACAAGGAATCATGTCATAATTGTGAATTATCTTCATCAGTTGCTATCCATAAATAAGTGTCATATATTCATCTTGATCAGGGTCTGGTGAAGTACCTTATAGCGTCGGTTCCAGATGCCAAGAAGAATGGTCTGGTTGTGGGATACGATGCCAGACACAACAGCCAGAAGTAAGTATACATGGTATAGACAAGAACTATAAATATATCACCGATTCCTTTGGTTTGATTGTTTGATTCGAGTAGTAGAAGTTTGGTAAGGTGTTTTCTTTAAAAATAATGCATAACTATATTCTATATTTTATCAACACAGATCATTGTAAATCACATTGTCTTTCTCAAATCTGAAATAATTTTGGTCTGAACAGAACAAACAACACAAAACACCAATGTCCCCTTGATTGAGCATCTTTTTGATGTGATGATATGAGCTCATGAGAACATTTTGGTTATGTTCTCGACATGGAAGTGACTATAACATTTGTACAGAAATCAGATGTTCAGCTCCAAATCTCATTCTCACTCATATCGTGAGAGGCGGTCAGGTTTGCTCGTCACGCTGAAGACCCGGGTTTGATTCCTGACATGGTTACAATGTGTGAAGCCCATTTCTGGTGTTCCCCGCCGTGATATTGCTGGAATATTGCTAAAAGTGGCGTAAAACCATACTCACTCACTCACTCACTCATAACGTGAATTTGGAAGCCTCCACTCAGATTGGCTGAATAAAAAGTTCACCTGACGTGACATCACATGGAGGGTTTATCACGTCTTCACATGGAGACGTATCAAAACAGAAGTAAAAGCACATCCACAACATTCACTCAACTCACTTCAGAAACAATCGTCATGTGATCACCAACTGAATTATTGCTAGCTTAATGTAAATCCCAATTCACACACTCTTCGTTGTTTAGATGGAGTGAGCTGGTAGCAACCATATGTATCAACGAAGGTATGCTAGTCTACAAGTTCTCTGAGATCTGTCCTACTCCATATGTGGTGAGTCTCCTGTGATCATGTACCTACAGCAGTACATTTACCCACCCCTGTCATGATCTTATGATGGAGATACAGGCACAATAAAGAGACGAACATACTGTGTTTTCAATGTGGAACTAGGTCACGACCAGTGGGAGGTTTTAAATGTGTAACCTAGCTCCACATTGTAGACAATATTTGTATCTGCATTCTACTGTGACAAATTGAACACAAATTCTCTGATGGTAGCCAAAATTTTGAATGAAATTGCATGGATTGATTAAGTGGGTTGTCCAACATCGATTATAGCCATTAGTGAAAGTTTGGTGTTGTACGTACGCTTGAACATGGTTTCTTCTGAGGATTCACTCGCATGTAAAACAGGCATTGACAGTGTACAGACAGATCAGTGGCAATGCTAGCTTTTGACAATGATTGAGATTTATTTGTACATATTTTCTCCATGTAATTTATGATGTTATAGGCCAATTTTCGAGCCTGAGAATGTATGATTTGGCCATGCTTACCTCACTTTAACATGTTTATTTGTTTGTAATTAACTTCTATCAAACTACTTTTATAAAAATCTGGTATCGACTGGTCATATTGACCTCTTAATAGTCTTATGAGCACCATGTGTCCACGGAAGCGTAGTTTATCTCATCGTCATGACTTGCATAAACACAACATGGGTACACCCTCTATTTGTAACAAACCAGATATATTTACCCTAATTCTGTGAGTTGCCTACTTGTCTCAAACACGTATTGTTAGTTGGCTCAACTTATCCTTGATCACCAGTAGCAAGGTTTAGTTCTACACCACACGTCATTATTATGACATCATACCGCTCTTTGCGGAAAAAAAGATATGACCTCACAGTTGGCTATAGAAAAGCGCTAAATGTCAAGCTCTCTGTGAATTGTTTGATAGGCATTACTACAAAGTTGACAGATGACAAAGTAGACACAATTTGCCTACTATGAACTCATTAAGCAATAATCACTACACCTATACAAACTTATCCTCTTTCATTGGCTTCATGTCCCATTGGCTTCCACCTATGTCTTCTCCGTCCATCATGTTGTGACAGTATTATTCTTCTGTTGTCATTACCTACTCATGTTGTGTGAAGCCTATTTCTGGAGTCCCCCGCCGTGATGTTGCTGGAATATTTCTAAAAGCTGCGTAAAACCATACTCACTCACTTACTCATGTTATCCCACTCACGTATGCAATTGGTGTTACTGTTAATCATCCACCTACTATATATATTCTGTACAATGTTCTTCATTTAGTCTTGCTTGACAATGGTATAAGGATCAGTACTGATCAGTACTAAAGAAGTTGTTATCCATAAATTGTGTCTACTTTGTCAAGCTCTCCGTGGTCTCTAAAACTGACAATACACTATCTTTGTCAATTCCTTGATGTTTTCTGCCCAATATGTATTGCTGCACATACTTTGAATAGGGTACATGTTGTAGTAACTGCAACTCTGCTTTTTGTAACCTACAATTTTACAAATAATTGTTTTAAAATGCTCACTGATACTGACCAAGAAAAAAAAGTATTTTTCCTTAAACTATAGTTTTCTCAATGATGCAGTCATCAAATTGTCTCTTTCAATCAGACTTATTCTACCATGAATTTGGAAATTACTCAATTCTGATTGGTCAGTCAGAGGTATCAAATCACAATAACTACCTTCGATTGCCTGTCTTACCTTGCCAAGATATAGATCATTTACATGTCGCTTTAATATGGATGGATATAACCTTAACATACTAATAGTTGGGGATTTCCTCTTTGGAAAGGAACTTTTTGTGTGGGAAAAATCAGATTTCTACAGCCTGAACATTGGTTTTATTTCTCGTCAGAATAGAAATGTCAGTTAAATCTAACACTCATGCTAAAAACATGTACAACTGAATTAGTTTCAGTTTCAGTTTTTGTGTGTATATTACTACTTGTTTAATGACCCCCGCCATCTTTGTCAGTCAAATATTGCAAAATGTGTTGTAATTAGCGTTTCAATTTCTCTACTAGAATAGCAGCTACAAAACATGTATCCAGCTAGTCTTTCCTTTTGAACCTGCTGAAATATTTATGGTTGAGAAGTTTCCTCCAGATTTGACGTAAATATGCGTATCGTACTACGTATCCGATCGTAACCTATTTACGTGATACATATCATCACCTTGCTGTATCGTTTTACCACCTGCATTTTTAATGCAATATTTTCATTCTGTAATGTGGTAATGCCCTGCTGGTATTAATGACGACTTGCTAACTGCCTATTCTGTACCTATACTTCAAGCCGTATGCTGTGGTGCACTATGGAGCTTCATGTGGGGTCATGATCACTGCCTCTCACAACCCAAAGGAAGACAATGGCTATAAAGTATACTGGACAAATGGAGCCCAGGTAACTAACTCTGTTAACACATAGTAAACTGGCATACAGGTAGTGGTCAGATAATGTGAGGTAACAGATTAAGTTTACCATGTTTACAGGTAAAAGACTGAGTTATCTGGTAATAAACTAGGTTTGTAGGTAACATATTATGTTTACAGGCAACGGAATGGGTTCGGATACCTGATTCAAACTGATTATGTTTATAAGTTTGTCAGCACCATACCCATGTTCATGGATTTCAACAAAGTGGTAAATGTCTAAGACATGCAAAACTTGGGGCTTTCTTCCTACATCAAACTCACTGAAATACTGTTCAAAGCAGTGTTCTATCCAACTCTCTCACTGTTGAATATTAATAAATCCATTTCTTATAGATCATTCCTCCGATCGACAAAGGTATTGCGACGTCCATCAGAGAACATCTTGAGCCTTTCCCCACGTCCTGGAATACATCCTGTGTCGCTGACAGCAAGCTGTTGAGGGATCCCTACGATAAGATATTTGATCTGTACAACAAAGATCTCCATCATCTCTGTCACTTCAGGTATCTTGTGTCAGGCACTGGGGGAGTCCTGGGCAGAGTACGTCACCAGTACACAATCCTACTGAATGAGGATTGGGTGGCCAGAATATGACCTGGATGATGGTTCCATCATTGACAATATGTATCATTGCAAATGCTATCACTAACTGGTTTAGCTCATCCAGATTGAAGGCTGCTCTCACGAAGCTGGAATATTGCTGACTTCTGTATGACCCCCCTGTGGTCTAATGGATAGAGCATCTTTCCCGAAGAGTGGAAGGTCGATTTTTTTTATTCCCCAGCCATATCATGCCGAAAAATGTTAAAAATGGTACTTGTTACCCTGCTTAGCCCTTGCTGGTAACACTGAGTAAGGGGCTAAAACAAGGTGTGTCAGCATGTCAGTGTACTGTGTCTGAGAGGGGTATCCATGTTACACTGCAACACAGCATTTCAGTGGACAAGCACCATAAATCTGGACTAGTACAAACAGACTCACAGACACACGCACAGATGCACATTGCTATGTAAGTGCAATAATACTGAACACAGTGTTACACCCCATTTCACCTCACCTTAAATTGAATATCTTCTGTGCAGAGATCAGAATCTGTCCTCCAAAGTGATCTTCACCTATACTGCCATGCATGGTGTGGGGTACAAGTTTGTGCGCGAGGCTTTGCAGAGTTTCGGCTTTCTTCCTCCTGTACTACTACCAGTCGAAAAACAGGTAGTGTAAAAAATAATTACCCAACAGTTAAAGGATTGCAGTCAGCAGGAATGGTATGATAATATAAGGTGTGTAATATGAGGGTTATAAGGGTTATATATCACTTTTATACACTGAATGTTATATATTTACTTGGTTTGACATGCCTACAGACATGTCACATGTTTACGAGGATTTGGAGAATTACAATTCATGCTAAATGTTGGTACCAAAAAACACACCTAGCGTTCAAAAAGGTTATGTACATTATGTAACCTCAATACAATTGAAGATGAATATCATTTTATGTAAATCTGTCTGCATTTTACCTCTCTTAGAAACATGTTTGCCATTCTTTTACACTTATTGACAAAAAAAGTTTTAATTTAATCAGCTACTACTGTGTAATAAAAATACCTCATCTCAGTGTGCTGTTTATTCTAGAAAAGCACTTGCTAAGAAAAGACTTAAACTAACAATTAAATGCACTTCTAAATTATTATGTATATGGGGCTATGGCCATGATGGCCTTATTACTGAAATATACTTGTAAAGTTCTCTCCAAAGAACACACGTCTAGTCTAATATCAATACAGTGAAAGAAGAGACAAATAAATTGTGTGTGTGTAGATACAGGATATCAATGATCGTTCGTAATATTTAGTATTCCAGTATTTTGACATCTTGATGATTATTGATGATTTTGTAGGTGCTTTTAATCAATATGAAGTTAATTTTACAATGTTTTGATGTGATAGCATGTCTTGCTTGTCATTGTTGTGAGAGACATATTTGGACCAATGTGCTTGTGTTCCTGTAGGTGTGGCCAGATCCTGAGTTCCCCACAGTGAAATACCCCAACCCAGAGGAGAAGGGAGCACTGGTCAGTACTGGGAGTTTTCTGAGGGTGCCAAACCCCTCTCGGCATCTGGCATACCACGTAATTTGTCTTGGGATCCAGTTTAAGAACTCTTTGAGTCATATCAGTGTACACAGCGGGTACAGTTAATAAAGACAGGGAGGACTAGTGCTGTAAGTTGTCCACTAGTCTTCTGAACTAGTCTTAACAAATATGAATTTCTAAGTCTGCACAGTATACTTTCACTAACAAACTGCCTGTTTCAGACATTGTCAAAGCAGATGGCAGATGATAAAGGAAGCGTGGTAATCCTGGCCAATGACCCTGACGCAGACAGACTGGCAGTAGCTGAGAAACAGCCCAGGTGAGTGGAACCAAACGTCCTTGAATTACATTGAGGTGTGATATAACTGGAATACTGCTGACTGTGCTGTTTTGAACACTCACTCATTGATGTGTTGGTCTCTGCAATTAGCTTGAAGAATCAAAAACAAGAAATACATTAACATTCAGCTCCCTTTTTACCCCCCCATATAATGCAGTAAGATATAGTTGACTCCTCGTCTGTCCATCTGTCCGTCCGTCCATAATGATTTCATTTCCGAAGCGTAACTCGAAAACTGTACAATTTTTTTCAACAAAAATTGGCAGATATATCAAACAGATCCTGAAGTGGTGCCTTTTGCTATTTACAGATTTTTTGCTTTTTTTTATTTTTCATGATTTCCATGGAAACAATTTGGACTGAGTCTCATAAGTAGTCCCATTCGTGACCAACTCGTGTTATTCCGGGACAAGCCGAATAGCGACTCGTGCCCCTATCATGGCCATTTTTGCGACCGGGTTCCGTCTTTGCACAAACGGGCATACCTAAAACAATTGTCAACTTGTTGCGAAATGGTTCACATTTATTTCCCCATATATTATATATATTTCAGATGCAGTTTAAAGCACATCGGGACATGCGGAATTATACAGTATGTTTGAACACATTTAATTGTGTCTTGGGTATATTTTTAGATGCAAGACATATGTATAATCAAAAATTATTTCTGAGGGATTCTTTGACGAAGAACTTGAAATCATACGCGCATTCTGATTGGTTTGTCGTATTTTCGCACATAACATTCATCGATAGGGGGACGAGTCTTCTTGCAGGTTACGGAAAGGGGCGAGTGGTGACGAATGAAGTAGTCCATGAGCCAGACCTCAAAATTTCAGGTTTGAGTATCAAAAAGCTGAACAGATCCGATGTGGATTTTCAGTTAGCATGTTGTCTTAAGTGTCCAAAAAGCCCACCCGGACTTTAAGGGTCGGTAGCTTAATACACTTTTGGCGGCCATCTTTAAAATGGCCGCCACGCCCTTTCAGAAGAATACTAACATCAGAAAAACTCAAATAACTCACCACCAAGATGACCTATGAACATGCAATATGGCTTATTTTGTTCGCAACAAAATTCTGCACCAGACAGTATATAACAACTTGATTTTTGAATTTATAATTTGTTCCAAAATTTGGAGTTTTTCAAAACATATGGGTATGCGTTGATGCTTTTTTCACAAAGTTCTTTCAAATGTCAACTCTGCTTTACAAACCAGCAAATTTATGCCCTAGATCAGAGGATCCTCGACTTGTTTGCAGTTTTCTTGGATGGTCTACGTCATGAGAACGGTCAGTTGGCTGGCACTGGCATGGCAATCACTGGCAATCACTGACATGGCCACCGGGCGAAGGGCAACCATCGTTGATGCCATGGGCATTGTTCAAAAGGTCCATGGGGAGCAACTGACATTTGACGAACTGTCTGATCGAATACTGAAACAGATCCTTACTGACGGACGAGGAAGTGAGAGAATCGATGTAGTATTTGATATGTACAGGGACCAGTCGATAAAGACTGCAGAAAGGATCAATCGCGGGTCTACTCAAGGGATTGTCTTCAGTCAAATCAAGCCTGGCCATCGTATCAAGAACTATAAACGTCTGTTAGCCGGCACCGAGAGCAAGACTAAGCTGACAAAGTTTCTGGCGGATAGCTGGAAAGACGAAAAGAAAAGAGAGCTTCTTGGTAACACTACGTTAATGGTAACATCCGAAGGACTATGCTTTCAGATTACACAGGATAAAGTGACAGAGGTGGAAGAATTGGCTACAACTGGACATGAAGAAGCCGATACACGACTTGTTGTCCATGCCAAGCATGCCGCAGCAAACTATCCTACAGTGATTGTGATTTCAGAGGATACGGACTTGGACTGAGTCTCATAAGTAGTCCCATTCGTGACCAACTCGTGTTATTCCGGGACAAGCCGAATAGCGACTCGTGCCCCTATCATGGCCATTTTTGCGACCGGGTTCCGTCTTTGCGCAAACGGGCATACCTAAAACAATTGTCAACTTGTTGCGAAATGGTTCACATTTATTTCCCCATATATTATATATATTTCAGATGCAGTTTAAAGCACATCGGGACATGCGGAATTATACAGTATGTTTGAACACATTTAATTGTGTCTTGGGTATATTTTTAGATGCAAGACATATGTATAATCAAAAATTATTTCTGAGGGATTCTTTGACGAAGAACTTGAAATCATACGCGCATTCTGATTGGTTTGTCGTATTTTCGCACATAACATTCATCGATAGGGGGACGAGTCTTCTTGCAGGTTACGGAAAGGGGCGAGTGGTGACGAATGAAGTAGTCCATGAGCCAGACCTCAAAATTTCAGGTTTGAGTATCAAAAAGCTGAACAGATCCGATGTGGATTTTCAGTTAGCATGTTGTCTTAAGTGTCCAAAAAGCCCACCCGGACTTTAAGGGTCGGTAGCTTAATACACTTTTGGCGGCCATCTTTAAAATGGCCGCCACGCCCTTTCAGAAGAATACTAACATCAGAAAAACTCAAATAACTCACCACCAAGATGACCTATGAACATGCAATATGGCTTATTTTGTTCGCAACAAAATTCTGCACCAGACAGTATATAACAACTTGATTTTTGAATTTATAATTTGTTCCAAAATTTGGAGTTTTTCAAAACATATGGGTATGCGTTGATGCTTTTTTCACAAAGTTCTTTCAAATGTCAACTCTGCTTTACAAACCAGCAAATTTATGCCCTAGATCAGAGGATCCTCGACTTGTTTGCAGTTTTCTTGGATGGTCTACGTCATGAGAACGGTCAGTTGGCTGGCACTGGCATGGCAATCACTGGCAATCACTGACATGGCCACCGGGCGAAGGGCAACCATCGTTGATGCCATGGGCATTGTTCAAAAGGTCCATGGGGAGCAACTGACATTTGACGAACTGTCTGATCGAATACTGAAACAGATCCTTACTGACGGACGAGGAAGTGAGAGAATCGATGTAGTATTTGATATGTACAGGGACCAGTCGATAAAGACTGCAGAAAGGATCAATCGCGGGTCTACTCAAGGGATTGTCTTCAGTCAAATCAAGCCTGGCCATCGTATCAAGAACTATAAACGTCTGTTAGCCGGCACCGAGAGCAAGACTAAGCTGACAAAGTTTCTGGCGGATAGCTGGAAAGACGAAAAGAAAAGAGAGCTTCTTGGTAACACTACGTTAATGGTAACATCCGAAGGACTATGCTTTCAGATTACACAGGATAAAGTGACAGAGGTGGAAGAATTGGCTACAACTGGACATGAAGAAGCCGATACACGACTTGTTGTCCATGCCAAGCATGCCGCAGCAAACTATCCTACAGTGATTGTGATTTCAGAGGATACGGACTTGGACTGAGTCTCATAAGTAGTCCCATTCGTGACCAACTCGTGTTATTCCGGGACAAGCCGAATAGCGACTCGTGCCCCTATCATGGCCATTTTTGCGACCGGGTTCCGTCTTTGCACAAACGGGCATACCTAAAACAATTGTCAACTTGTTGCGAAATGGTTCACATTTATTTCCCCATATATTATATATATTTCAGATGCAGTTTAAAGCACATCGGGACATGCGGAATTATACAGTATGTTTGAACACATTTAATTGTGTCTTGGGTATATTTTTAGATGCAAGACATATGTATAATCAAAAATTATTTCTGAGGGATTCTTTGACGAAGAACTTGAAATCATACGCGCATTCTGATTGGTTTGTCGTATTTTCGCACATAACATTCATCGATAGGGGGACGAGTCTTCTTGCAGGTTACGGAAAGGGGCGAGTGGTGACGAATGAAGTAGTCCATGAGCCAGACCTCAAAATTTCAGGTTTGAGTATCAAAAAGCTGAACAGATCCGATGTGGATTTTCAGTTAGCATGTTGTCTTAAGTGTCCAAAAAGCCCACCCGGACTTTAAGGGTCGGTAGCTTAATACACTTTTGGCGGCCATCTTTAAAATGGCCGCCACGCCCTTTCAGAAGAATACTAACATCAGAAAAACTCAAATAACTCACCACCAAGATGACCTATGAACATGCAATATGGCTTATTTTGTTCGCAACAAAATTCTGCACCAGACAGTATATAACAACTTGATTTTTGAATTTATAATTTGTTCCAAAATTTGGAGTTTTTCAAAACATATGGGTATGCGTTGATGCTTTTTTCACAAAGTTCTTTCAAATGTCAACTCTGCTTTACAAACCAGCAAATTTATGCCCTAGATCAGAGGATCCTCGACTTGTTTGCAGTTTTCTTGGATGGTCTACGTCATGAGAACGGTCAGTTGGCTGGCACTGGCATGGCAATCACTGGCAATCACTGACATGGCCACCGGGCGAAGGGCAACCATCGTTGATGCCATGGGCATTGTTCAAAAGGTCCATGGGGAGCAACTGACATTTGACGAACTGTCTGATCGAATACTGAAACAGATCCTTACTGACGGACGAGGAAGTGAGAGAATCGATGTAGTATTTGATATGTACAGGGACCAGTCGATAAAGACTGCAGAAAGGATCAATCGCGGGTCTACTCAAGGGATTGTCTTCAGTCAAATCAAGCCTGGCCATCGTATCAAGAACTATAAACGTCTGTTAGCCGGCACCGAGAGCAAGACTAAGCTGACAAAGTTTCTGGCGGATAGCTGGAAAGACGAAAAGAAAAGAGAGCTTCTTGGTAACACTACGTTAATGGTAACATCCGAAGGACTATGCTTTCAGATTACACAGGATAAAGTGACAGAGGTGGAAGAATTGGCTACAACTGGACATGAAGAAGCCGATACACGACTTGTTGTCCATGCCAAGCATGCCGCAGCAAACTATCCTACAGTGATTGTGATTTCAGAGGATACGGACTTGGACTGAGTCTCATAAGTAGTCCCATTCGTGACCAACTCGTGTTATTCCGGGACAAGCCGAATAGCGACTCGTGCCCCTATCATGGCCATTTTTGCGACCGGGTTCCGTCTTTGCACAAACGGGCATACCTAAAACAATTGTCAACTTGTTGCGAAATGGTTCACATTTATTTCCCCATATATTATATATATTTCAGATGCAGTTTAAAGCACATCGGGACATGCGGAATTATACAGTATGTTTGAACACATTTAATTGTGTCTTGGGTATATTTTTAGATGCAAGACATATGTATAATCAAAAATTATTTCTGAGGGATTCTTTGACGAAGAACTTGAAATCATACGCGCATTCTGATTGGTTTGTCGTATTTTCGCACATAACATTCATCGATAGGGGGACGAGTCTTCTTGCAGGTTACGGAAAGGGGCGAGTGGTGACGAATGAAGTAGTCCATGAGCCAGACCTCAAAATTTCAGGTTTGAGTATCAAAAAGCTGAACAGATCCGATGTGGATTTTCAGTTAGCATGTTGTCTTAAGTGTCCAAAAAGCCCACCCGGACTTTAAGGGTCGGTAGCTTAATACACTTTTGGCGGCCATCTTTAAAATGGCCGCCACGCCCTTTCAGAAGAATACTAACATCAGAAAAACTCAAATAACTCACCACCAAGATGACCTATGAACATGCAATA